TTTTTCCCGCCATAATTTTCTGCCCCTAGGCGCATTTCCAATGGTGCATCACCTTACTGTGACATTTTCTAACACAAAATCCCCCCCTGCTCCTTAGAATGAGATATAGAGGCGTGACGGGGGTCCCTGGGGTTACCGTGGCGATTGACAGACCAGGGAGGCATCTCTAGTCTGGAGCAAAATGTCAAGAGGCAGAAGGGTGGGCGCCATGTGGTGTGGCGGGCATACCCTCATGTGAAGCTGACGGTCACCAGCCGCTGTGCTCCTACCACAGATCAGAGCGTGCAGCCAAAAAACGCCAAAGGAGATTTCATTTCTGAAGAGTCTCACTGCCCTGAATGTGTTTATTTGTAATTTGATCGACTTCGGGCACCTACTGAGGCCGTTTTACACGCCTAAATCCATAAAAAAGGTGAAACATTCCCTGTGCACATTCCCGCAACAGAAGTGAAGGAACCACGAAGGAACCATCTGCAGACTGACATAAATAAAGACACGTAAGCCCTCTAATTGGCTGTGAGTAGTACCGGCAGGGGGTGTCCTGGCGGTTCCCCGTCCGGGGGCTGCAGCGGTCACAATGTGGGGGGATTTCATGGACCGGCGTGACAGCCTCCCACGCCGGCACTGTCAGGCAAGCTGTACCTGACAGTGATGAGGCCCACAGCCAGCCCTTCCCCCGCCAGCCACACAAGAACTGTGCAGGATATGCTTGCTTCGACAGGGCTGCTGGGGAATGGTTCCCAGGAAACGCCCAGGTTAGGAATCAGTGCTCTTGTGTGGAAGGTCATGGGTTTGAATCCCATAGCTAGTAGAGGAGTCATATCGCAGTACCTTTGAGCATAGACCTTAACGCCAACTGCTCTAGGGGTACTGGATGCTGGCTGACCCTACTGCCTACGCAGCTTTGGACAAAAGTAAATGTAAATAAATGTAAAGGCTGCAGGCCTAAATCTTAGAACTGAATTTAGATCTAATGACCTGAACTGGCATCCCTGAGTTTGCTAGACAGTTCAAACTGTTTCTGTACCGGTTCACCAGTGTGACATGAATGCTACTTGCATAGTGGAGTACGTCCTCAGGTGAAAAAGAGAGGTATAGCAAAGTATACTACAATCTTTCTTTATTTAACATCGTTTTCTTTATTTGGATAGGCTTGCCAGATGTTGCACCAAGAAACCGATGGCGATCTTCATTATGCTCCAGGCTTCATCCATCAAAAAAAAGATATTTTGTCTTCTCTTGTTTGTAAACATGCCATCAGCCCTGGACTCGGTTTTCCCGGGTCTGACTCCCCCCTACGATCGGCCTTGTCATCGCAGGCACCCGTTGTCAAGGTCCGGACGCCCGCGCACGAAAGCCAGAGATCGCGACGCCGGCGATCGTACTCAGCGGCCCGGCGACGGCGCTAGAACCGCGGCTGCCTGACGGAAAACGAAAGCGGGCGCCTTACATAACAGAGAGAGTCGTCGTTCTTGAATCGAAATTACACGAAAGGTGATTGCAGTAATAAGAAAGGCGCTGAGAGATATATACACACAAACCACGAAGACTCCCAACTCATCCTGGGACCGAGGAAATAACGAAATCGTCATCGCACATAATGTATAAGTAGATGAGTCTGCTTTCCAATAAGTAAACCATCATATGGGATTATTGTCTCAGAATCGATTCAACTTCATTGTCTCAGCATGATGTTGAAGGGGGATTATAACGGAACTGTGGGCTTCTCCTGTCCCTTATAAGAGGCCCACGTCAGATTGTTACTTTTCTACACTAGAAATATCACTTTGCTTCTTGATAAGTGCACGTCACTGCTCACCTTGCAAAGAATCGTCTTACCGGAGATAAGGCTGCAGATCGATGAATGGGAAGCGAGAGACGGGAAAGATAAAACACACTTAAGCAATAGAGACACGACAGAAACGGGAAAGATATTTAAAATGAACCAGATGCTGATTTTCAATTGAGTTGCCTCGCATTAAAGTTACTCAGGAACTCTTATACTCAGTCGTAGTATAGACCACGTTTTACAGAAGTGTGGCAAAGCCGCGATAGCAGAACTGGGCATCTTTGAAGTTAAACTCAAAAGTATATGCAAACTGGCCGTACTCTGATCTCTAAGAAATCTGTCTATATTACTTTTAAGCCCAAGTATTAGCTTTATATAGGGTGCGGGTAATGCAAAGCCAAATATATTACAAAGATAATATCAGCCAAACTAAAGACATATGTCTATGCATCATTATTCATTTCGTACCTGAATATAAACACGAATCGTAACATACAGTTTCTGTATGACAGTAAGTTCACTAGCAATTTTTTGAGGTTTAATCATTTTTCTTCCCATGATCATTGTCAGCCAGCGGTGCATAACACGGCTACGCACTAATATTACAAATATCTGATTTCTGTGTTTATGATCGACATCGTGTCACCATTAAGGGGTCACATAACACTCACTCACATCCGTATAGATTTACTACTCCGACCGTTCATCTGTGATTATTAGAGTAGCTGCAGAATATTCATGCATTTTCTTTAAAAGGTATGTTCAATGCCGAAAGTGCACCGTAACTGGTGAGATAAGACACTGATGTAAAAAAAACAACAAAAACCGTTCCCCCGTTGTAGTAGAATGATATGTTATCCCAGTTTATGAAGAGGGCCACAAAGGGAAGAGCTTCAGTTGCTCAGAAGGCAGCAACAGACCACTCCAGTTTGTTTTAATCCTGGACGTACAGTACAAAAAGCATTTTATATTAATCTGTGCCGTATAATTCACACAGCACATTTACAGCCATACTCAGACTGGAGCATCTGCAAGTTTTATTTGAGCTGACTGACTAGAATCAGTGAATTATATACGATACTCCAATCCAAAAACATGTCCACCTTTCAGTTAGTAACAGGTCGGATATATTGCATTTTCAAAACTTACTTCTGATTAATTATTATTCAGCAATTACGAAGTTTCGCAAACGCTTCACGTATGCACACCCCCCTAGATATTTAGAATAAACCGTGCACTTCAGACTACATATTGTGAATTAATACAAGTCAGGCTACAATAAAGTGAAAAGGGACACGAGGGAGAAAGTGAAGAAAGGGGAAAAGCAAAGACTGCATCATTTAATGCTTTCTTTACACAGCTGCTGCGCGACGCCCACCGGCGCTTTTCCAGCTTTCTGGATATCACTGGGACTCACCCACACGATCGCAATACGTCCCGTTCTTCCAAGCAAGACGGACAACGCTTCACTCATCTAACCGAGAAGTACCTAGCACATGGAGCGCAATAACTCAAAAAAACATTACCCATGTACGGGTCAGACACGCAAGCACCGACAGCTCCTTAAAGAAGACAACCGGAGTATGTTTGTTTCTATTTCATATATGCACAATTAAGCACGTACCTTTATCTCTTATTCTCCTCCCGGCAATTTCCTTTGCCTTTATGGGATTATTGCGTTTCACGTGTCCAGCCAGAAGTTATTGCCGATCGCCCTGTCACTGTCAGGACGCTTCTCCAGACGTCCTGCTGGAAAGGGGTGGGGGAGGAGGAGTGTCGTCTACGCACACGGGTCCCAGTGATGAGCGCAAAGAAGCGCATTCAAACGTTAATACCCGCACTCTCTCGCTTGCCCTTCGCACTGTGTAGCCCGACTTCGGCGTTAAGAGGTTGAGTAAAAAAGGGCCCGGGAGCTGTTGGTTTCCCCCTCCTCCCCTGCCGCTAGATTTGGGATATTCCGCTCTTGCTACATTGCTCGCGCACTCCCACGCGCCTGCGTGACGCAGATCCTGGCGTGGGCGGCTGCGTAGCGTGGGAGGCCGCTGCATGGAATACCAAGCATCACATCGCACCGGCGGCCAGCGGGGAGCCGGGGCCGAGCGCAGGCATTCTGCCACGTCTCAGAAAAAAACCCTACTGACCTTACCCTAAATGCAACACACCGAGCAATTAATATCAAAATAATGACGCCAGTTGTCTCGGTGTTCGCGTATATCGTTACTGTTATTTGTCTTTTACACGTATGAATGTGGACCAGAACAGAAATAATCTTCGTTTTAGTTCGTCTGATGAACAGTAACACGTAAACTACACGTAAAATCAGTTTCCTAATGATGCATTTAAGTTGTACTGGTTGTACGTTCGGTTTTTGGACAAGCAAGGTCTGGTGCTATAATTGTCGAGTTCCCTCCACCTATGCTACACCCTCTCACCCGTGCCCAGACAAGCATGTAGTGCAATTCCGTTTTCTTCATTGTCTACCCAAAATAGAAAGGCTCTGTTAGATGTTAAATCACTGGTGTCAACTGAGGAAACTTTGCAAGAATTCCCATAATTGCTGGACATTTTGAAAAAAAATCAGAGCAACTAAATGAATGTACTGTAATTGGAAAAATTGCACTCAAACTCAAGTCAGTGTTATCCATCTATCTATCTATCTATCTAATCATCATTTGATTAGATGTAAAATGAAGGGCACTGTATTTTTTTCAGCTTAAAAGAATAATACATTTGGTTGTTATTTTTAGCTGCTTTTTATAAATCAGTATGTCTGACAAAGGAATGTTTTATTTGGATTAGCTAATAAGGCTAATTAAATGATGTGTTTGATGAACAGACAATACTAGTTAACAAAGAGCTCTTTTGTTTGGATGGATTAATGGCTATGAGAGGATCCGGTTAAGCAACAACCTGCACTGTGGACTGGGACCATTGTGCTTTTTCCCAGCACAATGGTGGGTCACTTTTGCACTGTGGTCACACGGCAGCGCTGTCTAATGTTTGCCTACCGATCTGCCTGCACCGCAGCACATTGTGTGGCAGACGTATGATATTATGGAATCCCTCGCTTCCACCCTCAGACTGCCAGCCCCCCTTGCTCCCTCCCCCTTCCCACTCGTCGGACAGGGCCGGTTTGCTGCCCAGCCTCTGGGTGGAGAAAAGCGAGCACACAGACGGGTTTAAGAGCTCAGGAGGAAGAGAAAGGGAGCAGGGAGGGGACCCAGTGCCACATGTGGGCACTCCACACTCCCCTTTCAGGATATTTACACTCCCACGCACGGTGATTCAGCTGCTGCTATGCCTCTCCCTAAAGAGCCTCTCTACTTTACTACATCAGAGGCTGCCTGGACACTGGCCTCGGACGCTGCTTCCTTGTCGTCCCTCCACGTCGTGTTCCAGCTCCCCAGGCTCCCGAAACGCACAGCTCTCACATGATGATATTTATGGTTTTTCGATGCATGTGCTGCAGCAGGGACAGCTCACACCCAAAACAGCCAGAAAGAGGTGTATCTCTCTCCGTGAGCGATTCGGCACTAAGACAGAAAGATCAAAGGAGAGGAGTGGATTTAGCCCCAGAGATTTCCTCTCAACCGGGTGCCGCTTCATCCGCGTTGCACGTCCGCTGGTTTCCAGCTTAATCCCAAGACTCGGTTGAAAACAAACCCCTGCATTTCTCCTTTTCCCTCCTGGGTGGCGGGGGGGTGATGGGGAGGAGGGGAGGTGGAATCCAGTCTCTTAGATGAGGGATCGCTTAAAACGTCTGCCTCTGTATCGAGGATATATTTAGAAATGAGGAGGGCCCTGGCGGACTGCCTGTGCCCTTCTTACCCCAAGGGAAGGAACGCTCTCTCACAAATGCACTTGTGTCCAGAAGAGCTCCGGCTCTTAATGTCAGAGCACTGCACTTCGTCCACTGTTGACTAAATACTGTACGAGGAAGGACTTTGATTTCATAACTGAATTTACAGTTGGCTGTGGCTGCTCCTCTGATATTAACTCGCAATTACAGCTCACAGCTCCTCTCTCTCTTTAGACTGAAAGTTGCGAATTTGGACTGTTTGCCCATAGATGCAGATTAGAACCAAATTATCAATGTCACATTCTCGGGAAGGAAGATTCGTATGCTTTTTTGTTGATGTGTCCTACTCATGTGAGGTTTTTACGATTGTGGTTGAGCATTTCGGCACTTTAAAGATTGATTGCTTGATAAGTACGCAGTGGCACAGTTGGGGGTGTGGGGAGGGGGAGAGGTTGGCACCCCTCAGTTGAAGTGTTAGGGTGACGGGCAGCTCCGAGTTCGCTAATGAGGCTCTGACAAGTCCGTGACTCAGCACTCTGCAGGGTAGTGCTGCTCCCTCACTGTCCCCTTGGTCCCTCGTCCCCAGTTATGGCTGGTTGGGCCTCCCTGGCACTGGTCACCCTATACAGGGTAAGGGACCACATTTACTTAGCAAATGCTTTTACCTGACATGATGTACAACTGAGAGAGTGTGGTCAGCTGGACCCTGGAGCAAATGGGTGGTTAAAGGCCTTGCTCAAGGGCCCAACTGCAAAATCACTCTGTCGACCCTGGGAATTGAACCAACAGCCTTCTGAACACAAGTACAATGTGGCACAGTGAGGCGTCCAACACTGCTGGTCGATGAAATGAGTGTCAGCTGATGATGAGCCCATGAGGTCCGTAAAATAAGATTTATTCATACCAGGGGGAAATTCTTGAGGAAAACAGATGGCCTGTATGGGAGTCAAACCCACAACCTTAGCATTATTAGTGCCAGGCTATAACCAACTGAGTTACAAAAGCCTGATGTTTTTCTGCTGATGCTGGGATAATCAAACCACACTGAGGCCCCTGGTGGAACTATAGATGGGCCCCTTCGCCAGGATTGGCCGGGCCGTGACGGCACCAGTTCCCAGCTTAGGCACAGCGTGCAGAGCGTAATCCGTTTATGTCTGCTCTCTCCGTCACACACAGACGCACTCTGCGTAAATGCATTCATACACTGATTATGCTCTAATCTTGGGCTCATCCTATGTTCTGCCAATTGGACGAGGATGTACACATTCTCAGCTTCCCGTCCCCACGACTCTACCTCTGTTTTTTCTACACTTAGTACATTTACAAACAGATCTTCCCATTTTTCTTGTCTATTTTATTGGCACAGGAAATGCATCAAACCAGACTGTGAAGTGTCAGTCTCAAGTTGTTGCATAAGGGACCCTTAAATAAGGCTCCCTTCTAATGGCAGACACTTTAGGTACGTCATGTGGTGAATCGCTCTTGTTGGTTCAGTAGTTTAGTGGCTACCACTCTTGTCTCACACCAGCAGGTTTTGGGGTTTAATTCCCTGCCCTTGCTCTTTGTTGCATGTCTGCCCTGTGTTACGCATATTTCCTTTGTATACCATAGCTTCCTCCTGCGTCCAAAAACACATGGTTAGGTGAACCAGAGGCGTGGTGTTTGGCTGAGCACGTTAGGATGCTATACCTGTGATCAGAAGGTTGGTGGGTCAAATCCCAGCATCAGCAGAGTGATATTACTGTTTACTTCTTGAGCAAGGCCCCTAATTCTCAATTGCTCCATAGACTTGCTAATCCTGCTTTCTTAACTGTATGTCGTTTTTGTATAAAAAATAAAATATGAAAATAAAAGTAAAACGGGAGCCCAAACTGCGATGATCTGGCATCCCATCTATGATGCTCCCTCTCTTGTACCTTCTGAGATTGTCGCCCAGATCACCATGACCCTGTTCTTCATAAGCATGGATGGAAGTCTTTCTTCCACTGCAGTAATAATTTAGGGCATTTGGGTTTGACCCCCAAACCCCTAAGGGTAATCTACATGTTCCACAGAAGCACGTAATATAACTGGCATGGTGAACATCTGGTTAAATTTGCCAGTCAAAACGAGCTAAAAATATAAATAATACAAAAAATAATGTACAGAAAAACAAAACAAGATCTCTGAGTCAGATGGCTAGAGAATTAAAATGGAATGCGAGTCTGACCGTCAGAGAAAAATATTAAACAACAGCTCAGCGTTATGACACAGCCCTACAGTGTACCTTATCCAGAGTAACCCCAAATATCTACGGAAATAGAAAACAGCTTAAATTCCCTTTGTGATTTAAGCGCAGTCCGCATATGGGCTTGATGGTATCTATCTATAGCAGATCCATGTGAGCCGCTGCCAGCACTGGCTTGCAGCTCTTAGACGGCACTGCTGTGTAATTCTAACATTAAATGACTGGGAATCTGCGCAGATGGTTTTTACAAGTGACCCATTAACGAGCGCTGTTTGGACACAGAGGACCTCGGCATGCAAGAAGGCTGCGCATGAAAGTTTGCACCGGGAGGCGAGGTCCGGAAGAGGCGCTGCCTTGACCTGCAATTGGTGAACGTAACCCTGTCTTAGCAGAGGTAATAAATTATACAGCATGCAGACAGGTAATTTGGTCTGTGCGGTTTGCCAGATGACAAGTAATCTAATGATCCATTGAAGGAACACTTAGCTGTAAGCAGAACAAGAGGGTAATAATGAACGTTTCTTAATCAGAAACTCCCTTAGGCACTGCAGGAAATTAGACTCGGAGAGAGGCTCATTGGGTAGCTCCTGCCCTCACACCTCCACAGCTGAGGTTCGACACCTGCCCCGCATTTACGTGTGAGGAGGTTCCATGTTCTTCCTATGTTTTCAGGGGCTTCCTCCCAATCCAAAGGCGGCTGAGGTGGAGCCTGGAGCCCGTGATGGGATGCCATCCCGCTGATGGTGTCCGCTGCCTCATTCCCCAGGCCCCCTGGGACTGAATTCTGACTCACCTGGGACTGGGAAATCAGTTACAGAAAAAGGCTGGGATGCAAGGGGGTAAGATGGAGCCAATAAGATGTGATGTGGGAAGCTGGAGCAGACCGACGTACTGTAGAGTGAAGTCTTTAGCATCACACTGCAGATGCATACAAGGTACCCCAGAAT